ATATATTTTTAAATGTCGAAGGCTGGTTCCAGAATATTAAAGCTCTTGAGGCAGAACTCAGGAACAGCACCTAAAGCCTTTTATCCACACTGCCTCCAATTATTTCATCGAAGCTTTACAGGGCGTCATATTATTTACAGGGCGTCATATAGTTGGAATATTCCTAAGTGCGGTGTTAGACAACAAGCGGTCACCGTCACTTTTTCTTTCTTCACAGACTTTTTAAAATTTTATTTTTATACATTTCATTAATTTAATAGGGTTTTTCGTTGTTGTTGTTCTTTTCCTATCTTTGTTGTTGTTGCTGTTGTTTTTCTTTTCTTTTATCTTTGCTGTTGTTGTTTTTCTTTTCTTATCTTTGTTGTTTTGTTTTTGTTTTCTTATCTTTGTTGTGCTGGTTTTTTTGGGGGGTGCTGATAACACAAATTTGTATAATTATGTGCATCTACATTTTATTTGCAGTATGCTCTAAGTTGATATTTGATACGTACAGCGTAAATGACTATGTATATAATGATATACATTCTATTTTGTTAATTGTACCTGCCTCACGAGAAGGTTTTGTACGATGCATATTCTGAATATTGACTCTCTAATTCTTTGGGCTTTCATCTCGCACAGCTGTGGATCATACATATATTTCACATCTATGATTGCTCCAGTGATCATGCAAGGACAGAAATATTCACACGCCACTGAATCAAGTCTCCCAAATAAATGAGCGAGTGATTTAATTCAACTTAACGCTGTTTTGAACAATATGTCAGTTTTAACAGGGCGTATCAGCTCAATTGATGCGGGAGGACAGTCGGCCATGATACCCAAGAGTGGTCGAGACTAACATTTAGTCAATGAAATATTTTATTATAATATACTAATTCCTCTAAACGTGTAAACAATTTCTTGCTCATGCTGAATAGATATGATACGAGGAGCTGTTTTTATATAAATCTAGATTGGTTTTGTTTTCATAAAATACATATATTTATTCCACATTCGTTGTGCAGGACTAGATTATGGTTCTGACAAAAGTTATACATAACTAGGGCGAATATAGGATTCGAACCCACGATATGTTTCTAACACACTTAAAGGACGCTTCACGGCGTATTGCGGTGCCTTGGACAACTAACCACGCGTGGCTCTTCTGATAGACGGTTTACGGTATCTTTGATGATAAAAACCGGACATAATGACCCTCGACCCTTCGCTTCTACACACGCGTGTGAAGAACACAGTTAATCTGCAAACATTACCTACTCGTGTGAAACGCCGGAGCACAAAGGGTCGTTTTGCTGTATCAACTGGCACAACTGGCACTCGGTTGTCCGGGTTCCATGTTTGTCCTGTCAGGTCAGCGGAGTGTGGTCATTTTTCTGAAGAAATATCATCAATAAATCGCTTTGTGTGAACTTAACCTAGATCAAACGTTGCTTTGTGCGAAAACGCACTGTCAGTAAACATGGTGGACAAATATATTTCATTGAAAGCTGCGGATTAATTGTTTAATAAGGACGTGATTTAATAGAAACAAACGTGTTTATGGCGAGTATAGAACCCGGTGTAAAAAGTGTTTCCTTCAAGGATAAATACACAAAGGTCAATTGTTTGATAACTGTTTGCTTGAGAAACAAATATATTGATTGTTAGTATTCTGTAGCACATTAGACCAAATCAGTTATCAGCGAAGGACTCCGCCGTCTACCTGTCCCTTGATCACCGGGGTGGAGGTGTGCGTGCGTGCGTGCGTGCGTGTTGGGTGTGTGTTGTGTGTGTGTGTGTGTGGGGGGGGGGGGGGGGGGGGGGGGAGGGTCCACGCATTGCTCAATACGCATTGGGGGGTGATTAGGGCAATCATTCTCCTTCAAGTCCTGATAGTATTGGGCCAGCTAACCTTAGGAAACGTTGTTTAGTGGAAGATGACGTTATTAGTCGAAGTAGTTGATGCAAGTCATGTGATTAGGGAAGTAGTTGACACGAGGTTATTAGACTAAATCATTTATGTCTTTTCAGAACAATTTTAACTTCTATTTCAGAAAAAAAATGCATTTGTTAAATCGATTGATTAAGACTTGTACTTTTTCATAGTGTCTCGCATAGGATTCCTGGGAGGAATTCATCAGTAAATTATGCGGCGTAAAACAAGAAATAAAAAAGCATTGGCATTGTTCATTTCGGCTAATCGATAATTATGCGAAATAAGCAAAGTACCTATGGGGTGTTCAGATTGATTTCTCAGAGGTCTACATGAGCGGGCTACATGAAAAATAACTGCATGCTTATTATAATGTTAGGTGATATAACCTATGATGTCACCCTAGGGACCGGTGAAGAACGAATTTATCTCACCTCAGGTATGTCTTCTACATGCATGCTTTGGAAAGAATCTGTAAGAATACCAGTTAAGCATTTATCCACTTCGTTCATTAGCAAACGAGCTATTTCATTTGGAAAAGATCGTAAATATCCGGAGAATAACGTTTTAACATCATTAATTAGATATGCAAAATTGCGGTTGGTATGTTGCAAATGTAATACCAACAGTTCGGCAATTTGAGCGGGGAGCGTAAGAAATGTACTTTGAATGTTAGCGGAGTACGTTGAAAATAATAGAATGGGTTTTAGCCAATGAGAATCCAACATTAATGTGTAAGGTAAGATAATGTCATTTGTAAACACCTTCTCCAATAGAACCGCTGGACCAATGGACGTGGAACTTAATTAGCACTCGTGTATAACATTAAATTGTGTTCAAAATGAATGCTTCATTTCTAGTTTGTACAGCGAATGTTATTGTACATCAGGTTTCAAAAATCACTTCTCAAAATCAACAATTCCATTTTTGATTAAATCAAACTTCTCACGAAAAGCTGAAATGCCGTAAGGTACATGTAGGTTTTTACGTTCACTCGAGGCCTCAAGGTCGGACTTCGATTGTATCCGCGCAGCAGTTCAAAGTTTTCTTCTTTTCGCTAAAACCCTGCTGGAGTAACAAAACTTAGAACTCGACAGGGATGTTTACATAAAACATTCAGCGCCTGACAATGGACCAGTATGAAGTCGGTAAATATTTAGTGTTGAAGCGTCGTATAATACAGAAGCGAGTGCCACTTGAACTGAAGGTGTTAGGTATTTTACTGCCTCTTTCCTAGTTGTGTGACGACCAGATGACGAAATGCTATTATTTCCAGGCAAAAACTCAATATGGATCCCTTATCACAACCTGCATGAATCAGAAGATCAGTCACTTGGTCTGAAGGACCACACATGACTATCAAAAGGTTTTGTCTATAGTCTAGGTATATTTTGATTTCCTGAAACAGAAGTATTTTGTCCATACACTCCTTATGAAAGTGCCAAGTCAGGTGAGCTAAAAGCCATATTTTGTAATTTAATCCCAATATTGAATAGAATGCCTACTATCGTATCTAGGATCTTGCACATTTAATATTTACAAGTGAATTCATTTCACTGGTGTAATATCTTAAGAACAAAATTACAAAAAAAATTTAATAGTGTTCCCGAGTTGAAACCCTTCAGTTGAAAAATATGAAGGGCTTGCTTTAACAAGGCGATATTGTTAATGCAGATTTATGACTAACAATGGTTCAGAGGAGTCATTTTCATTGGTCATTGAGGGTTTTATGCAATGCACAAATGTGCATACAGTACACACAAATGTTGAGATTGGATGCAGAAAAAGAATATAAAAAGATGCTCAATAATATTCATATCAGCTACAGCCCATCAAAGAGCAGTTGTAGGTGTCTGTTATTTCATCCTTCAATCATGACTACTGTCCACATGATCCTTGATTCAATCCAGGCTCTAAAGTAATTACCGGGTATCAAAACATACAATACACTACACCATTTCATTACTTTACAGGACCATCACACTAACTGCAAGGACCCTTAAAATTAATTATTGGGCGTCCACTGGACCACTAATTTTGTAAGTCAAGGTAAAACCCTGGTCATTTATTAAAAGCTCAAGAGTAAGAGAAATTCAGTGTTAGTTATAAAGAGATTAAGAAGGTGACATCACTTCCAAGGGGATGCTCTGAGGGGGAATAGGTCTTGATAAAAGAGGAGTCTGTAGGATCAGACATCTCCCTTCTTCCTGGATATATTAAAGCTTCATTAAGTGAAATGGGGTTGTACGTCCAAAAGTATTGTACTTATATAGCGACATGCATGCACGTGTGTGTGTGTGTGTGTGTGTGTGGCTGCTTGTACTACTACGGACTAATGCCAATTTGATAGTGCTAGCTCACTGAAATACCGTGTCACAGTTTAACATGAATACCCAACTCTGACACAGTATACTGACTCCGAGCCGACCAGTCCTTGTTTTAGCCTCTTAATTCCAAGCACCAGGCAGCGTAACAAGTACCATCTTTTAAAGTCTGTTGGTATGACACGAACAGGGATCAAACCCTCGACCTTACTGTCTCCGAGCAGACACTCTTCCATTAGACCACACAGGCAGTCTCCCATTAAGTGAGTGAATGAGTGACGTGAAACCCGTGAAGATCCGGGGTAGAATAGGTCTTCAGCAACCAATGCTTGGCGTGAAAGGTGACTATGCTTATCGTAAGAGGCGACTATCGGGATCGGGTGGTCGGGCTTGCTGCCTTGGTTGATGCATGTCATCGTATCCCAATTGCGTGGATCGATGCTCATGATGTCAATCACTGGATTGTTTGGTCCAGACTCAATTACTTACAGACCAACGTCATATAGCTGGAATATTGCTTAGTGTGGCGTTAAACAACAAACAAACATTTTGACGTGGGAGGTATGCCGGAAGTGATACAGGTCATTCACCTCTTTGGTGAAACCCATAAGCACGAGTATGATGCTGACAAATCTAGAAATATGATCAGCACAAACCAGGTTTTCAAACTCTTGATCACAGCTTTCTGGCATGTCCAAGGGATGCAACTATGCACAGCCATAGAACCTCAAAAGAACATATTTAAAGACAAACTCGCAGAATGTTAAGCAAGACAGTTTATTATCATCAGACAAGACCACAGCAGTAGTTGTGAGAGTGGTGCACACTTGTTCAATCATAGACACACACAGACTCTCTACACATTCAGCAGCAGGGTGTGTGACATGGATGTGTTCAGAGCCTGCAGACACTTATCAGGGAGGTAGAGATAACATGGTGGTCACGGAATGCTACCACTCCACCAATACCTGTGACTACTGCACACTGCTGGAGATGAAGTATGACAATTCAGGTATAATTAATGCTACTGTCTACATATTCTCACCACACTAAATAAAATATGAACTGCCATTTCATGGTCTATTAATCAGGAAAAAAGTTCACCTCCAACAAAGATTAGCATATGATTTTGAATACATACTACTCATTATTTGTCAAGGACCAAACCTTTGAATAAAGACTTTTGATCCTAAGCAAATGTTGAGTAGTGTATAACAAGTATTTTTCATTTCAAAATGTTCTACTCTGATACTGACGTTAATGAAACAGTTGAGACAGTTTTAACCAAGAATAGACCAAAGCACAACAAAGCTCAGATAAGTCATTTTCAGTTCATGGCATAATTATACATAGTTTCATGACACAATACTCAGCAAACCAGAATTCACCTGACATGAAAGCCTCAAGCAAACTACTAAAATAACCATGCAAAACTGCATTTACAAAAGGTAAAAAAACCCAATGTTTCTCTTCATTTCAAAAGACCAAGCTTAATGTAAGCAGGGGCGGTCGGGTAGCCTAGTGGTTAAAGCGTTCGCTCGTCACGCTGAAGACCCAGGTTCAATTCCCGACATGGGTACAATGTGTGAAGCCCATTTCTGGTGTCCCCCGCCATGATATTGCTGGAATATTGCTAAAAGCGGCGTAAAACCATACTCACTCACTAATGTAAGCAGCATGCCAGTTCCGACACATTCATCAACACACTTGGCCCCCTGTTCCAGAAAGCACTCAATAGGGATGTTTAATAACATAAGGACATTGTTCTCAACAAACTTGCTTCAAACACAGCATTACAAACATCAGTATATAATACCCAAAAGAAGTTATCAGTAAGATAAGTTTGTTGGAGGATCACGAGGGGTACATGGGATTTATGCATCCCTCGTTAGTTCCGGCTTGTATAAAACCTAACACGGGATGCATAAAACGTACCCCTCGTGATCCTGCTACAACTTATAAGATAATGGCTGATACAGCCAGGATTTAAACAATTTATGGCAACACTTCAGCTGATTTAAATATTCACAAACAGTGACAAAGAATTGTCTGTCCTTGTTGCATCATCTTTCTGCTGTGAGAGCAATATAACACTAGGGTGAAGGTTTGCATTTAACAGTCATCCCAACAATATAATTTGAACTTTCATGATAACAAATACATGAATACAGTAAGCTGATTGCTGAGTCATCCTAGCATCAAACTAAACAACCTGTGCATCAGGTCATAGATGCTGCTGATGCTGCTGATGGTTCAGATGATCTCTTTCTCCAGCAGTTTAGTGTTTTTTGCATATGCTGTGTATGTGCCAACCGTGCATATTTAATTATCTATGCATATATATATATCACAAGATAAAATGCATGGGCTTTCATCTCCAACTGGACTTTCATTTCCAAATCTTTCTGCCATTTTTTTAGGGAAGCCTGTGGCCTGGGCTGCCATGATAGCCATCAGTGAGGTTCGGTGTCATGACAAACACGTGTCAGTTTCAGGGTCAGTTGTATGACAGCCGTAAGTCTATATTAACCTACCAGGGTAATGACTCACATCACTGCAAACACTTTGTGAAACAAGAGCTCTGTGAATGATGAACAATAAATATGAAATCTTCTAAGGTAGACAATTCACAAATGGTAGAAGATGTTTGCTCACCTCTAAACAATAACGGTATAACATTTACATCACTGCAGTTCAATGGCACCATGAAATACACTGTTTCCTATACAGTTTGAGCAGGTTTCGGTACACTGCCATATTTTTCCCTTGCTAAACAGGCTTGTGTACAACCAGAATCTCAGAGGATGACAAGGAAGCACTAGGTTTCTGACCAGTCTCAGAGGAACTCACACTGGTAAGTTCATACTCATTCTCAGATGAAAAACCATATGGATGGGACGAAATTTGGAGAAAAAAAATTATAAGATGGTCCCAAGATGAAAGAACAGCTGATTTACAGCAAAATTGACATAAAATAAAAAAGGTATGATTGACATAAAACATATTCCATTTGGTATCTGTCAATCACATTTTCATCATATGATATATACCATATCAAACCATAAATATTTATTGGTTTATTGAATGACTCAAAACTGATATCGGACGCAAAGTTACATCCCTAAAAAAAACAAAATCCCCCTCCCCTAATAAACATAATGCCATGCAATTTATTTTTAGAAATACAATTATAAAAACTGCACTTCACTAAACAAAATAACCCTATTTCCGTCAGAGGTTAAATGCAGCCTCTCTTGACTTGTAGAATATTGACAACACAGCTCTTTCTGCACACAAAGCCAATTATTTGGATTAGCAAGCTAATACGTTCAGGAAAGCCGTGGAGAACCACTGGTATTATTCAGGTAATATAAATATATACACCTTACCATACAGCCAGTGTCAGCAGGGCAACACCACTTGCACCTGGTGTGTGTGTTCCCCACACAGTGCTTGCCCGTGTACAAACAATGGACACAACTGAAATAAGTTGGGCTGTATGTATATGCCTGCTGTCATTGGATTTAGACCTCAAAACATCACAATGTGCCCATTCTGCAGTTGTGAATATTGTCACTGCTCGTTGTGCGTAAACTGTTGTTTCCCCCGAGCTTCTTTATTCAGTAGGAAACCAATCCACGAGCAGGGGACATTGACCTTGACCTCGACCTTGACCTTGACCTTGATATTGAGCGTGATCTGGATCGAGTCAGTGACCTAGAAAAAGGGAATGTGTTTCATTCCTAAAACTTAAGCCTGCACAAATAAAACTTCATCGTTTGAACATCAAAATTGCCAATTACTTATGTTAGCTCAAAATAGTATTAAGTTCCAGGCAAAATGGCTAGTTCTAAATATTGTCCAGTGCCCATTTGTCCTGCTTGAAGAAATATCATTATACTCATATTGCATAGCTGCCAAGTTTCCCAAATTACAATTAGTATTTCTGGTCACGAGACCAAAGCCCAACGATATGACTCATTCACAGGACAATACAGCCATGTGATTTTGAAAATCAGTTTATCAATTTATAGTTTTGTTTCCATTTTGACTACAGCAACTTCCGACAATATGGGAGGTGTGTCTCTATTGGACAGATTATAAACAGACTTCACACCATTATAGTCATAAAGAAGATGTGTTCACGTTCATAGCTGACAGTGTAAGCTAAATAATGACCCTCTATTACTGCTGTCTATGAATTTTTAGTCCTTTGATTTCCCCCTATATTAGCACATAATATATATGCATAAAGGAAATCTTATTTTGTATTCAGTAGCAAATTTGTAACAAATACGAAAAATTTGGGACAGTTGGCAGCTATGATAATACCAAATATCATTTTTGACAATTATGAACATTGTATTGAATTGCTTGGTTGATGCCAACAATACCCTAACATAACCAGAACCTAGCTTACCTATCTCTCCTTGAACGCCGTGGCGATCTGCTAGGACTTCGGCTGCTGTCGCTGTCACTGTTGTATGTGGCGTTCCGTTCCCTCTCCTCCATCTCTTTGTGTCTCTTCTCTCGTTCACGGCGCCGCATCTCCATCGCACGAGAACGCAGGTCTTCTTCCCTGTCCTGAAAACAAACACATAAAGTTAATAAACTACACGCACCAAGTCACACTGACATTTGTGTCACACTGACATTTGAAAGCACCAACCTGCAACCACTAATTCTTCATTTACCATTCAATTTCACTAGCTCCAGGGAAGGTAACAACAAGTACCATCTTTTAACATCTTTTGGTATTGACATGGCAGGGGATTAAACCATCAACCTTCCGCTCTCCAGACTCTATCCAAATCCTATCTAGATGTTAGGTAGGACTATCTAGATGTTAGGTAGGACTTTCTAGTTGTCATCTATATACACAACCTTCCAACTCACCATTCTTTCTTGTTCCACTTTAGATATCCGCATCGTCTCAGCCTTTTTGTCTGCCTTGTCTGTAAGAAAGATTGACCATAAGCACAATAAGCTTTGAATCACAAAGAATTACAGATCTGTGACATCAAATATAAACTTGTGACACCATGGACAATGGATGACAGCATCTTAAATCAACTCATCAATGCCCTGATATGACCCTGGTTGCAAAAAGTTGCTTCAATTAACACCACTTAATGGACATCAAGTGCCACCTTCAGTGCTTGTTGGCCTTTGGAATAAGTGCAACCTTCACAGCTTGTTGAGCTACGATATAAGTGCTGCCTACAATGTTTGCTGAGCTACAATATAAGTGCTGCCTACACTGCTTGTTAAGTTACGATAAAAGTGCTGCCTACACTGTTTGTTGAGATACAATATAAGTGCCGCCGAGACTGCTTGTTCAGCTACAACATAAGTGCTGCCTACACTGCTTGTTCAGTTACAACATAAGTGCTGCCTACACTGCTTGTTCAGCTACAACATAAGTGCTGCCTACACTGCTTGTTTAGCTACGATATAAGTACTGCCTCCACTGCTTGTTCAGCTACAATATAAGTGCTGCCTACACTGCTTGTTGACCTATAAGTGCTGCCTACACAATATAAGTGCTGCCTACACTGCTTGTTGGGCTACAACATAAGTGCTGCCTACACTGCTTGTTTAGCTATGATATAAGTGCTGCCTTCACAAAATAAGTGCTGCCTACACTGCTTGTTTAGCTACGATATAAGTGCTGCCTACATTGCTTGTTGAGCTACAATATAAGTGCTGCCTACATTGCTTGTTCAGCTATGATATCTGCTGTCTATACAACATGAGTGCTGCCTACACAATATAAGTGTTGCCTACACTGCTTGTTGATCTACAATATAAGTGCTGCCTACATTGCTTGTTCAGCTATGATATCAGTGCTGCCTACATTGCTTGTTCAGCTATGATATAAGTGTTGCCTACACTGCTTGTTGATCTACAATATAAGTGCTGCCTACATTGCTTGTTCAGCTATGATATCAGTGCTGCCTACATTGCTTGTTCAGCTATGACATAAGTGTTGCCTACACTGCTTGTTGATCTACAGTATAAGTGCTGCCTACATTGCTTGTTCAGCTATGATATAAGTGCTGCCTACATTGCTTGTTCAGCTATGATATAAGTGCTGCCTACATTGCTTGTTGAGCTGAGCTTGCATCTTGCGTTTGAGTCGCTCCTGAGGGGTCAGCTTCATCTGAAAAATCCACTCTTAGATTATACACAGGCAGGGCTCACATGCACTCGCACATAATACATAGGTGGGGCCAACATCCACTCCTACATAATACATAGGTTGGGCCCATATCCACTCCTACATAATACACAGGCAGGGCCCATATCCAGGCCCACATCCACAATACATGACACATAATACACAGGCAGGGCCCAAATCAAGGCCCACATCCACTCCCACATAATACAAAGGTGGGGCCCACATCCACTCCCACATAATACAAAGGTGAGGCCCACATCCACTCCCACATAATACAAAGGTGGGGCCCACATCCACTCCCACATAAAAAAGAAATATTGCACACAGTTACGGAGACCAGCAGAAAATAAAACTCCCAGAAGAACACCTTCATTGGCATGTACTGGTATTAAAATGGCTCATTATAAGTTCAATGCTGCATTCACAATAAATGAGTTAACTTAAAACATGGATGGGTTACTGATCAACAACAACATTTGTAATAAACTGTAACAAGATAAATCTATTCAAAATGTATCAAAGTTCATCTTATACAAATATGACACTACATAAAAAAAACTTCAAAATCGTCTTTAACAAACACATTTTTTGTCAAGAACAAGGACAACAAAACAAAAGACATAAACCAGCCTATTCTCAATTCAAGTGTAGGAATCAACAGTTTGTTACAATACGTCGTCCATGACACAACAGTCTCTAGATACAGCATGCTGGTCTGGCCCCAGGGCTGACAGTGCACTGTGTTCTAGTGCAGGCCTTAACATAGAAACTGAAGGTGGGGCACTGGAGTCACGACAACTGTGTGAGTGGGAGGAAAGGAGCTAACTGCTTGCAAGGGGCACAAAGACTCAGTTGAAAGTCAAATGGTTCTTACTGACTTGGTTAAAAACAGCACTCTTAGAGAAAACGATCGGCTGGGTCGGTCTGCAAAGTAAAAGAAAGGATTATGAGACAAAACTTAAATTCAGTCAGTCAGTCAGTCAGTCAGTCAGTCAGTCAGTCACACGTGAAACACACTAGATAAACCTAGAAACATAATCGAGGTGAACCAGGATTTGAACCCATGATCATGGGTTTATATCGTGCCCAAGGGATGCAACTCTGCACAGGGAATTGTGGCACCTTAGAAGACTAGGCTCCCTGTGCCCCCTCAAATAAAGCCCTGTAGCTCAGTTGCTTCAACAAGCGAGCAGATGAGATCATTCAAAGAATCACATATACAAAATATTCTACTCTAGAATTATATTTCATGTCTGAGATCAATTTTTTAAATAATATGCAGATGACATTCTTGACTAGTAACAGATGGGACAAAAATAATGCGAAATCATTGGTCATTCACTTAACTGGAACGTAAGTGATTCATTTTGTTGACATGGATTGTCCACAGGGGTCCGGAAAATTTAAAATCCCAATCGGACATTTGCAGTTAGGCCACTCCCCCCTTCAAATAGCGTATTTTAGTACGACTTTTCACACACATTACAAGTTTACGTGTTCATAATATGATGAATTATGAATTGTTTCAATTTAAATTGTTTACTTCACAGGACAATTAATAACAAATAATATCATTTTAGATTTACATGGAAAACATACGTTTGTTTCTGTTATAATAACGATCTGTTAACGTAGTGAACGGTCTAATTAATATTCATGAGTCTGCTCAAGTGTACGCGTTGTAACATTTGGATCGAGACTATTATCCCATATTTGGTTATCAGGTGACCTCACGGGAAAAGTTTTTTTTAAACTAAAGATTTTTTTAAAAACAAGACAGATAATTTAATCACAAATACTAAAATATCGTTGATAGCAATAGTTATTTGAATACTTTTTTCATCTGTACTTGATTATTGACCATAAAAAAATTGGATATCGATCGTCCGAGAAAGCAAAATTGCGGTCAATCAAGATTCAATATACGACTAGCTACTGAAAACAATAAAATCTGCAAATCCTCATTGTATGTCAACCAAGTGAAAGTCGTTAGCCACGACTTACAAAATGATCGTCCAGACTTTGAGGGTTTGGCAGATCCGCTCGACTGATCTGCATCGGTCGACTGGCTGTCGTCACGCTTTCGCTTCTTGTCTGAGGTTACATATCGTAGCATTGTGAGGATAATGAGGTACATCGATGATGCAAGGTATTAATGTACAGTTGTAAACACCTTTCTCTCAAATTAACAAGATGTTCTCAGTAATTAATCCTCGATTAATCAGTGTCAACTCAGTTTATTGCCTATTACAGTGATTGACCGATTGGACTATCGTGTAGGTACGATGTATTTACAGCAATCAAAACAAACAAAGCTTGTCAGTGTAGTTAATCTTCATTGTGTTGCAACTGCAGACAGAAACTGCTCAGTCCTAAATGTTGATCATGGCCGGTCAAAATTTAAGAATGTCCGGACAATACTTTTTAAAATGTCCGGCAAGCAATATTTTAAAACGGACATTTGAGATTCCCAATCGGACATGTCCGGCGCATATGACGGTTTCCGGACCCCTGATTGTCCATATATTAGAAGTGTGTCTTTCATGATATTCCTCATACCTGTTATGGCCATAGCTGGTGCTGCTTCTCTTGTCATTGTCATCTTCATCGTCAGATTTACTCTCATTTGATGACAGACTCTTGCGGCGGTATCTTTTCACAGGCTGCGTCACTGGGACAACTCTGGCAGGAGACCTTGACCTTGACCTTGACCGTGAACGTGATTTGGACCTGAAATGAACAATTTGTCACAATCTGTGTTCATGTTAAATGATCCTGTCACAATCTGTGTTCATATTAAATGATCCGTCACAATCTGTGTTCATCTTAAATGACCCTGTCACAATCTGTGTTCATATTAAATGATCCGTCACAATCTGTGTTCATCTTAAATGATCCTGTCACAATCTGTGTTCATCTTAAATGATCCTGTCACAATCTGTGTTCATCTTAAATGATCCTGTCACAATCTGTGTTCATCTTAAATGATCCTGTCACAATATGTGTTCATCTTAAATGATCCTGTCACAATCTGTGTTCATCTTAAATGATCTTGTCACAATCTGTGTTCATCTTAAATGATCCTGTCACAATCTGTGTTCATCTTAAATGATCCTGTCACAATATGTGTTCATCATAAATGATCCTGTCACAATCTGTGTTCATCTTAAATGATCCTGTCACAATCTGTGTTCATCATAAATGATCCTGTCACAATCTGTGTTCATCTTAAATGATCCTGTCACAATCTGTGTTCATCTTAAATGATCCTGTCACAGCCTGTGTTCATCTTAAATGATCCTGTCACAATCTGTATTCATCTTAAATGATCCTGTCACAATCTGTGTTCATCTTAAATGATCTTGTCACAATCTGTGTTCATCTTAAATGATCCTGTCACAATCTGTGTTCATCTTAAATGATCCTGTCACAATATGTGTTCATCATAAATGATCCTGTCACAATCCTGTCACAATCCTGTCACAATCTGTGTTCATCATAAATGATCCTGTCACAATCTGTGTTCATCTTAAATGATCCTGTCACAATCTGTGTTCATCTTAAATGATCCTGTCACAGCCTGTGTTCATCTTAAATGATCCTGTCACAATCTGTATTCATCTTAAATGATCCTGTCACAATCTGTGTTCATCTTAAATGATCCTGTCAAAATCTTCTGATGCATTGAAAATTAATTTTGAATGTTAAAGTTCATGAAGGTTTCATCTACATTTAAAAATCTAAAAAAATCGAGTCGGGACCAGACAATCCAGTCATCAATATGTGAGCAACGATCAACACCTTTGGTGCACGAAGACACTCAATCAATGAAGTTGCCAAACCTGACTACCTGATCCATTTTGACAATCAGCATGGGTTGCTGGAAGCCTGCTCAAACCAGGGATTCCCACAGGGTCAAATGAAGAAGCAAAATGAGTGAGTGAGTATGGTTTTACGCCGCTTTTAGCAATATTCCAGCAATATCACAGGGGGGGAATCGAACCCGGGCCTTCGGCATGACGAGCGAACACTTTAACCACTAGGCTACCCAACCGCCCCAGAAGCAAAAAGAAAGGATTGATGTAATTTTGAGCAATACTTGAGCAGCCTATTGTGTGAAAAGATAAAAAAAGTCATTCCTGATAGGAACCATCTCTGTCAGCCATTTTACTCCACTCCTTGTTTAAGCATGGCTCACTGGAGACTATTTCCCCTCGAAAATCCCCAGGTGGGACAAATCAGGAACATACAAAGAAATAAACCACACCTTGACCTGCTCTTTGACTTGGATCTGGAACGGGATCTTGAGCTAGAGCTTGACAGAGAACTTGACCGAGAACTCCGAGATCTTGCTGAAGACTTTGAAGTTGACCTAGATCGCCTTCTTGGTGACCTTGACCTTGACCTAGACCTAGATCTCGGTCTGTACCTTTCTCCATATCTCCTTCTATCCATGTATCGTCTGGGTGATGAACGAGGGTAGGATTTACGGTCTCTTGACAATGGTCGTCTTTCTCTTGAATACCTCCGTGACCTTGAGTATGAAGGTGACCTTGAAGGAGTGCGTCGCCTTCTATTGTTACGATTCCATGACCTTGATCTTGACCTTGACCGCGATCTTGATCGGGTACGTGATCGATGTTTTCTTGAGGAAGATTTCTTTGAGCTGAAAACATGCATCATATCATCTCAATAATTAGAGCACAGTAATATCTCAAAACTAAACCCCACGAAGTTTTTGATACCAGAATCACATTCAGAATTAAACATGTAAAACATGTACTTCTGAAATCACAAATGACAGCTAAAAATATCAAATAAGAAAATTCACTTCTTCAGTCACTAAAAAGATTTTAAATTTTCATGCTGGTCATTCTCCTTGATCTGAAAGAGGAAAATCTGCACACTGGCAGACATATAATATCATCAGCACAGCCGGTCTAGACTCAGCATTCCAGTTCCCCTAATCCTCATACAAAAGGAAAACATCATTTTCATGCTGTGTATGAGAAAAATCTCTTTTGATACAATGCTCCTGAACAGTTCTGGGTACCTTTCTCCAGTCTCTGACCTGGGTCTTCAAGTTATTGGAATCAATAACCTACTACGAGGGACAACTAACAATGTCTTCATTGTACCCATAGTGGTACAGTCTTAATGGCAAAGTGTAAACCAGAGGCTACGACTGCCTGTAACGTTTTGTTGTTCCGCACCCCCCACTGTCTGAGCAATAAAGTGATGAACCGACCATGGTTGTCTCTTTGAATCAGATTTGTCACTATGAGTCCGAGATTGGTGCTGGTGATTAGTCGGCAGTGATGGTCCCACGACAATGTTCTTCCCCTCGTGGTCACTGTCGTCCCCGAAACATGTGATAAACATGACCTTCCCAACATTCTCAGGTGACCTTGACCTTGACTTTGAAGATGATGAGGACCTGAAATGGTATGATCAATGTTTATAAATCAAGTTAATTATACTATGTCCAGCAACACAAAACCTAGAGAAATAGATGATGAAGAATCTTGGGCCAGATGGAAAAAACAACGTGGTTAAAATGAAATAACAGTGACAGCAAGATTAATAAACAAATGAGAAATTTTGCAAACCACATTATCAACTTCCATCTGAACATGAGAGAACGAGTTAATGTTGGTTATGTAACAGGTATCTATTTCAATACGGCCTGTACAAAACAATTAGGGAAAACAGTGGTCGACAGCATGAGCAACGATCAAAAGGGTGCGAGTGCATACACACTTTGTAACCAGATAATCCTCATCAGTCAAATCTCATTACACGATGGAGCATTAGGGACTTCTGGCTCAGACGCTCACACACGTAATCTTTGTTTGTTTCTTTGTTGTTTAACGCCACACTCAGCGTTATTCTAGCCATAAGAGGTCAATAAATCATCCTGTCTGACTGACATCATGAGCATCAATCTTGGCAATTGGGAAACGAAACTTGCACCAACAAAGTCAGCGAGCCTGACCACCTGACTTGTCAGTCGCCTCTTACGACAAGCATAGTCGCCTCTTATGACAAGCATAGTTGCCTCTTACGACAAGAATAGTCGCCTCTTACGACAAGCATAGTCGCCTCTTACGACAAGCATAGTCGCCTCTTACAACAAGCATAGTCGCCTCTTACGACAAGCATAGTCGCCTCTTACAACAAGCATAGTCGCCTCTTACAACAAGCATAGTCCAATTCTAACCCTGATCTTCACAGGGGTGAAGTTTTTAAGGTTAGTAGTTTCCTTGTGCAGTACACCTACCTCCTGTATGGTTCATACTTGGGACTGTCTCTTGCAGCATAGCTAAAGTGAGGAAGCAGAAAAAGTGAATGAGTGAGTGAGTCACACCTGTAAATCAGTAAAGGTTTAGACAAATACTTTGAGAAAATTAACTTCTAGTCTGACCACAAATCTTTCGTTTTACATCATTTTAGTGCAGATAACAGCACCTCAACCAAGTTAACAGATGCTAGACAATGTGTTAAACTTAACTTATCTATGAGTGAGTGAGTTGGGTTTAACGCCACTTTTAACAGTATTCCAGTTATATCATGGCGTGTCAGCTTAAAATGGGAGGAAAGCCCGAAGTGGTGCACGTCTCAAGACGTTTACCACTTTGGTGAATCCAACGAGCACGGGTATGGTGTTGACAAACCTAGAAACATAATCAAGGCGAACTGGGATTCAAATCTACAATCATAGGTTTTTGTTGGGCCAAAGGGACGCAACTCTTTACAGTGAATTGCAGCGCCTAAGATGACTTGGAAACCCGTGCATCCTTTGGGTTGATATCAAAAGATATGAGGGTGAGATTCGATAACTCATCCAAAATCATCTGCCTTTTTTCAGCTTGAAATCAGTCCTGTCTTGTGTAAAATGTACAGCCAACCAGCTTCAGTAACAGAGAGATTAGTGAAGTGGTTTGATTGTGACACAACATAGGGTGAGTAAGTCATATCAGCATTATTTCAGCCACATAGCGACTCTGGTGTAATATTAACCAATGACGTCACAATGGTGATGGTCTGCAAAGTATTGTGATGAAATTTCATTTGAGCACTCTCACCAAAGCAATATCTTCTGTGGAAGCCAGTTTTGATGATAAATAGGTTACTCTCCATCCTATTGTTTATCACTGTCAATACAACAGTAAATACCTTCTTTCACAGGCATATTCAGACAATGAAAATAGCATCCAACCTTGGTGGGCTTACTCTCCTTCCCTGCAAACGCTTGTCTTTAAACGCTCGTCGTTCTCTTCGAGACTTTCGACCCTGAAGTTAAGAAACAGAGACTGAAATATCTTCTAGATTTGTGTTAGTTTGTTTGTTTGTTTGTTAACACCATACTCATCAATATTCCAGCCATATGATAGCAGTCAGTAAGTAATTGAGTCTAGACAAAACAATCAGCGTTTGACATCAAGAGCATAGATCTCCATAATACGATGATGGGATACAATAACACGTCAACCAAGTCAGCGAGCCTGACCACCTGATGCCGAAGTCTCCTCTTACAACAAGCATGGGTTGCTGAAGGCCAATCCTTACCCGCATCTTCAAAGGGTCATCTTCAACACACTAATCAGGGCAGCCTTGTTTCTTAGTAGGATCATCTGCTCTATAAGGTGTTAATATAGGCCATCAAGATCCGGGGCAGAATAGGTCTTCAGCAACCCATGCTTGCCCTAAAAGGTGACTAGGCTTGTGGTAAAAGGCGACTAATGGGATCGAGTGGTCAGGCTCGCTGACTTTGTTGATGCATGCCATCGTATATTAATTGCGTGGATCGATGCTCATGATGTCAATCACTGGACTGTCTGGTCCAGACTCGATTATTTACAGACCGCCGTCATATAGCTGGGATATTGCTGAGTGCGGCTTTTAACAACAAACAAACAAACATATTATAGTCACTTTAATGGAATTTGGGGGCTTTTTTTCAATCTCCAGATTCTCAGGTTACATTCACTGAAGAATCAAGTGCCTAAGCCAGCCCTCCCCACCCTATGGAGCACAGACGACTAACTCCGTCCCAGGATCCCTACAGGTAGAAGTACGTACAGCAAACTGGGCCTTCTCTTCTTCCAGCAGTTTAGCCTGTCTCAGTGCCTCCAGTTCTTCCTTGTCTTTCCTCAGCAATCTAAACACACCAGATGACACCAGCATCAAGTCACTGCAGATACATTCATGGCTTGTATACTAATGAGGGAGAAGGGATTTTACACCACTTTTGGCAATATTCCAGGAATAACATAGGTGGAGGACACAATGTGTTTCACAAATTGCAGAGAATCTTCTGCTTGGACAGCATATGGTGAGTCATGTTTAGGTGAGGTTTAACATCACATTTAAGAGTTTTTGCTCACAACGAAGACTTGACCTTCACAAAGTGAAGATACTCTTCTAGCACAGACATCAGAGCCCTATATAGCCTAATAAGCACTGAAACATACTGAGCTATCTCCTTGCCTTAAGCAGTGTCACTACCCTGACGTTCTCATTGACAGATTGAGGGGAACCTAGGATTATCACAGTTACAATGAACATAAACATTTGACACAATTTCCAGTGTTACCCAAATGCTTATTTGTAGCTCACAGTCATAGTGACCTCATGCACTATTGCTGTTTGCATATGTTTGATTAGTGTGTGAGTGAGTCATATCTAACAGAAATCCAGCTATCACGGCGTGTCAGCTTGATGTGGGTTGAAAGCAAGAAAATGCAAGTCTGAGGTGTTTACCACTTTAGTGAAACCTACAAACAGGTTATGTGCAGACAAACCTAGAAACTTAATTGGGGGAACAGGGATTCAAACCCATGATCATAGGTTTCTGGCGTGCCTAAGGGACACAACTCTGCACAGCGAATTGTGGAAGTGTTGATGCCAGGGCCACTCGTGACCCCTGAATTGTGTGTAAGCTTTGAACAGCATTCCAGTTTGTCCAGAAAAGTCAGAAGTGATGCAAGTTTACCACTTTTGTGAAACTCACGAGAATAGGTGACAATTTAAGAGTCATAATACAGGCAAATCTGAGATCCATACGATGAATCATAGAATGCTTGCTTACATAAGGGACGCAACTCTGCACGTTAAATTCACAGTGGCCTACCTGATGAAGTCGTCCTGCTTCATGCCGTACGCCTCGGCACACTGGTTGATGAGAACCATCTGCTCCACTGTCAGCTCATCCACATCCAGCGTCACGTCTGAAACAGCATCATTTGTCAGGAGTGAGTAAGTGAGTATGGTTTTATGCTGCTTTTAGCAATCTGCCAGCAATATAATTGTGGGGACACTAGAAAATGGGCATCACACATTGCACCCATGTGGGAAATCGAACCCGGGTCCTTAGCATGACGAGCGAACGCTTTACACACTGGGCTACAGCCCCTACTTGTCATATAGTACAGCAATCTTATTCAGATCAGATATTTTACTCGATACCAGGCCTCTCATGAAGATCAGAAGATCTATACAGAAGGTTTGGTTAGGTGAACACAGTGTTAGAAATTAGCACTAGCCCTATAGTCCTTGCCACACTGCCCAGTAGTTATGGTATCATAAGGACTAGTAGAAATTTGCCATTATGAAGGGTTTTGCAATATGTTATGATTATAAGGACTAGTGGACTAGAACAGTATCACTGCTGAACAGAACCTTGAGCAACTTTGACTGCCCTATCAAAATGAAGGATGCGTGGGTTTAATAATCCATCAGATGTCAGCCTTCTAAAATACTTCAGCTTAATTTCTTTACCACCATGATTTGGAAATTTCAATTTTAACACACAAAAATAAATATTCTGTTGATGGTACTCCCTTTGGGTGTAGATGAAGTGGTGCTCAGAAATGACTGGGTGTCTATAATCTCCACAAGAACATAACACTATTGGTTCACTAATAATGTTTGGTCTCTGTAATTCCCCTTGATGATTGAAAAGGGCTGTGTAACCAGACTTGACAAGTGTCAAGTTTCCGCGTATCGTATTGTATCATGACGACAATGGGTATTGTTACAGCCCTTAGTCTGTTACAACACATTCTAGATGCTTTGCATATTCATAAAACAAAAGCTGGTCATAGAAACATGGTAGCTTTAGCTTGAGGTTACCTAAATCGGCTGTTTCAACATCGGTGTCACTGCTTTCATCGCTCTCCTCTCCATCTTCATCTTCATCCTCATCACCCGCTGCCGTGCTGTCCTCGTACGTGTAGCCAATGGCTGCCTTCTTGTCTACCAATCTGTACCACACACAACATACACATGTAAACTCAAAAAGCTACAATGAAGGCCTCACTGAGTCCATCTTCCTGAGGCAAGTGTGTTAACTGACCACCCTTGCCGAACTAGGCTGGAATTATGGAGTCATATTTTGGCTGGACTAACGATCGATACATAGTCCAATCAAAATCACGTAATGAAATTGACATTTGGTTCATAAACAACATGGCAATTGCTGTGTAGGTTGCAGGATTTGCAGAGCATGTGTACTGCCAAATGGGTGTCAACAGATGTTTTCCAAATCTTTTCATGTTTTCAATCAAGGTGTTCAAGTGTTTTGATGCACCTCGTGATATTATTAAAAAAAAAAAATCTGATTGTCTTAACTGGGCGCTAACATTTTGTTTGCATCAAATGCAAGTGAAATAAAGAGGTGGAATCTGATTGGTCAAGAGGAGAGACATAACTCCTAATCACCACTGTAGGTGCTACGATCAAACTACAAAATTTCAGCCGAGTTCGGCAAGGGTGGAAACTGGACTTTTACAGTCAGTTAACGCCCTTGCTTTGGGTAGATGCACTGAGTCCAACATACTGGACGACTGGTGTGCAGACTACAGTGTTCTATGTATAAAATTTAACAAAAAATAAAGGGAAAATGTTTCAGTCCAGATCCTGGAAACCTTGATGTCAGTTATTGTTAAGAACGTCTTCATATAATACCTAGGACATTATTCTTCTGTTAAGAGGAAATCTGTTTTTCAATAAGGTTTTCACTTTGGTCAGGACTAGATTAAAAAGTTTGATTGTACACAAATACACAAATAATGCTTCTATATCATAATAACGATTGACTGTTAGTACCTCTCAAGCATATTGATAACATGTTGAAATTCAGGGAGATGCAAGGAGTAATATGGTCATCCTGATATGAAAGTATTTTTTAATACTGATCTGTCAGTATAGATTTAACATGACTTGGCAACCATTACATCAATGCCTTCATGAAGAAATGGGAATAACCAGAAACAAATGCAAAAACGTTTATACCTCAAAACTTTAAAAAATCCTGATGAAAGTAATCCCCTTTTTAATGCATGAAAGTTGACAGAATAAAGAGTGAGTCTTGTTTTATGGCACATTAAGCAACATTCCAGCAATATCATGGTGGCGGGACACCAGAAATGGGCTTCGCACATTGTACCAATGTAGGGAATCAACCCGGTTGACAGAATAAAGAGTGAGTATGGTTTTTATGCCACTTTTAGCAATATTCCAGCAATATCATGGTGGGGGACACCAGAAATGGGCTTCGCATATTGTACCCATGTGGGGAATCAACCCGGGTGACAGAATAAAGAGTGAGAATAGGGATTTACGCAACTTTTAGCAAAATTCCAGCAATATCATGGCATGGGACATCAGAAATGGGTTTCACACATTGTACCCATGTGGGGAATCAACCAGGGTGATAGAATAAAGAGTGATTATGGTTTTCTGCCACTTTTAGCAATATTCCAGCAATATCATGGTGGGGGACACCAGAAATGGGTTCACACATTGTGCCCATGTGGGGAATCAACCAGGGTGACAGAATAAAGAGTGAGTATGGTTTTCTGCCACTTTCAGCAATATTCCAGCAATATCATGGCATGGGACATCAGAAATGGGTTCACACATTGTGCCCATGTGGGGAATCAACCAGGGTGACAGAATAAAGAGTGAGTATGGTTTTACGCCACTTTCAGCAATATTCCAGCAATATCATGGTGGGGGACACCAGAAATGGGTTCACACATTGTACCCATGTGGGGAACTGAACCCGGGTGACAGAATAAAGGATAAGAATAAAAAGCTCCTCACTTCTTCTTCTCCTCCTCCGCTGTTCTGTCTGGAGGTCCAAACTGCTCATCAATGTAGATCTGGTGTAGAGCCTGTTCCTCTGTCACTGCAAACATCAGTCAGCTGTCAAACATCAATAACCACAAAGTCCCTGTTACCTGTCTCCCTGTTACCTGTCTTCCCATTTACCTGTCTTCCCATTTACCTGTCTTCCCATTTACCTGTCTTCCCATTACCTGTCTCCCCATTACCTGTCTCCCCATTACCTTGATCGCTGTTACCTGTCTCCCCGTTCCCTGTATCCCTGTTACCTGTATCCCTGCTACCCCATTACCTGTCTCCCCATTCCCTGTATCCCTGTTACCTGTATCCCCATTACCTGTCTCCCTGTTACCTGTATCCCTGTTCCCTGTCTCCCTGCTACCTGTATCCCCGTTCCCTGTATCCCTGCTACCTGTATCCCCGTTCCCTGTATCCCTGCTACCTGTATCCCCGTTCCCTGTCTCCCCATTACCTGTCTCCCCGTTCCCTGTATCCCTGTTACCTGTATCCCTGCTACCCCATTACCTGTCTCCCCATTCCCTGTATCCCTGTTACCTGTATCCCCATTACCTGTCTCCCTGTTACCTGTATCCCTGTTCCCTGTCTCCCTGTTCCCTGTCTCCCCGTTCCCTGTATCCCTGCTACCTGTATCCCCGTTCCCTGTATCCCTGCTACCTGTATCCCCGTTCCCTGTCTCCCCATTACCTGTCTCCCCATTCCCTGTATCCCTGCTACCTGTATCCCCGTTGCCTGTCTCCCCATTCCCTGTCTTCCTGTTACCTGTTTCCCTGTTCCCTGTATCCCTGCTACCTGTCTCCCCATTACCTGTCTCCCCGTTACCTGTATCCCTGCTACCTGTATCCCTGTTCCCTGTCACCCCATTACCTGTCTCCCCGTTCCCTGTATCCCTGCTACCTGTATCCCTGTTCCCTGTCTCCCCTTTCCCTGTCTTCCAGTGACCTGTCTCCCCATTACCTGTATCCCTGCTACCTGTATCTCCGTTGCCTGTCTCCCCATTCCCTGTCTTCCTGTTACCTGTCTCCCCGTTCCCTGTATCCCTGTTACCTGTTCCCTGTCTCCCCATTACCTGTCTCCCCGTTCCCTGTATCCCTGCTACCTGTCTCCCCGTTCCCTGTATCCCTGCTACCTGTATCCCCGTTCCCTGTTCCCTGTCTCCCCGTTACCTGTATCCCCATTACCTGTCTCCCCATTACCTGTCTCCCCATTACCTGTATCCCCATTACCTGTATCCCTGTATCCCGTTCCCCTGTTCCCATTATCTGTATCCCTGTTACCTGTATCCTCATTCCCTGTATCCCCGTTCCCTGTCTTCCCATTACTTGTCTCCGCATTACCTGTATCCCAGTCTTCCCATTACCTGTATCCCTGTTCCCTGTATCCCCGTTCCCTGTATTCCTGTCTCCCCGTTACCTGTCTCCCCTTTCCCTGTCTTCCTGTTACCTGTCTCCCCGTTACCTGTCTTCTCGTTACCTTGATCCCTGTTACCTTGATCCCTGTTACTTGTTACTTGTCTCCCCGTTACTTGTCTCCCCGTTACCTGTCTCCCCTTTCCCTGTCTTCCTGTTACCTGTCTCCCCGTTACCTGTCTTCCCGTTACCTTGATCCCTGTTACCTTGATCCCTGTTACTTGTTACTTGTCTCCCCGTTACTTGTCTCCCCGTTCCCTGTCCCCTGTATCCCCGTTCCCAATTTCCTGTATCCCTGTTTCCCCGTTCCCTGTCTCCCCGTTACCTGTCTCCCTGTTACCTATTTCCCGTCTCCCCGTTACCTGTATTCTGTTACCTTTATCCCCATTCCCTGTTACCTGTCTCCCTGTTATCTATTTCCCCGTTCCATATTTCCTGTCTCCTCGTTCCCTGTCTCCCCGTTCCCTGTCTCCCTGTTAACTGTATCCCTGTTACCTGTTACCTGTAAACCCGTTACCTGTCTCCCTGTTACCTGTATCCCCGTTCCCTGTATCCCCGTTCCCTGTATCCCCAATCCTGTCTCCCTGTTACTTATTTCCCCGTTCCATATTTCCTGTCTCCCCGTTCCCTGTCTCCCCGTTCTGTGTCTCCCCTTTATCCTGTTACCTGTTCTCTGTATCCCCGTTCCCTGTATCCCCAATCCCTGTATCCCCGTTCCCTGTATCCCCAATCCCTGTATCCCCAATCCCTGTATCCCCAATCCCTGTATCCCCGTTCCCTGTATCCCCAATCCTGTCTCCCTGTTACTTATTTCCCCGTTCCATATTTCCTGTTTCCCCGTTCCATATTTCCTGTCTCCCCGTTCCCTGTCTCCCCGTTCTGTGTCTCCCCTTTATCCTGTTACCTGTTCTCTGTATCCCTGTTACCTGTATCACCATTACCTGTATCCCCGTTCCCTGTATCCCCAATCCCTGTATCCCCAATCCCTGTATCCCCAATCCCTGTATCCTCAATCCCTGTATCCCTATGCTCTATACATGATACCCTGCAGGGATTCTTCGTTAGAACAGGTCCCCATCAAGCTATGCTGGTCGACCAAGACTGAACAAGCCTGACGACCACATTCCGTCAATGGCCTTTTACAACAAGCATAGTTATCTGGGACCAATACAAACTCGGCATCCCAAAAGGGAAAGTAATTGAAGTCCCCCATCAAGTGTCCTGGAAAGACTTACATCCTGCTGACTCGCTCTCCACCAGGGTTCTGTACCTCTCATAGTTGGCCTGCCTCTCCTCATTGTCCTCGCCACGATTCAGTCTGGAACAAAACACCAGCTCAGCCCAAGTCTAACAGTTGTGAAATACAAATAACAAACAATGTCCATCTTCATAATGCATTAGTGAGTGAGTTGGGTTTAACACTGCTTTTAACAGTATTCCAGTAATATCACGGCATGTCAGTTTGATGTGAGAGGAAGTGATGCAGGTCTCAGACATTTACCACTTCGGTGAAACCCATGAGCACGGGTATGGTGCTGACAAACCTAGAAACATAATCAGGGCAAACTGGGATTCGAACCCACAATCATAGGTTTCTGGAGTGTCCAAGGGACGCAACTCTTCACAGCGAATCTCAGCGCCTTAGGCGACTGGGCCACCCGTGTCCCTATAATGCATTAGAAATCAGCGATAGAAATTGGCACTAGTCCTGTTGTCCGTGCAAAAGTAGAAATTTGCCATTTTTAGGGGTTTTGGTATATGTTATCATTATAAGGACTAGTGTTAGTTTCTATCACTGGAAAGGTATCATTTATAATCAGGTATCTATTTCTATTTGATACTTCAAAGTCTTTTGACACAAAAACTTGTGTATGAAAACTTCGATCTATCGATAGATTAAACTATAGTGCCTGGTTCAAATCACAAAAAGTAGGTTTGCACAGTAGGTTTATCTCCTGAATCTATCACTCAAACACACAACACTTACGTAATTGGTTCTGTTTTCTTGATCTCAGGTATTGTATCAAGGTGAGCTCGAACATCAAACCTGTCAATCATGTTGTCACGGTTACCTTGCCAGGGCATCCTATAAACAAAACAAAGTTGAACAAATGATATTAAAAAATCCTTGTAGTTCAAAATGTTTTCTTGTACATGTTACATGACTGGATTTACCACGGTAACCGAATCTCTTGATGCTTTATAATGAAATTGTTATATATCATTAATATGGTGTTGCTTTACAAGAGATGGAATACATTGCTAGTCCAACAGCTTGTGGCCAGTAACATTTCAAAGGGCCAGTGGAATGTAGAAAGCCTTAATTCTGACTGGTTTAATCTCAAGAGTCAGATGTTACCTACAGACTGATATTCTTTAAGGGTCCTGTTACTGTCTTGTGTAAACTAATACAGCAGTGTTGGCGTTTACACAATCCCATATATAAAAATAAGCAAAGCAACATACTGGGACGCAAGAAAACAAACCTTCATGTCACAAGTGTGTATCCGACTGGTTTAAAAAACGGATATAGAAACTTCAACCACACAGTTCTTTACGAGGCAAGCAATAGAAGAGTGAGTGAGCGAGTGAGTGAGTTGAGTTTAACAACGCTTTTAACAGTATTCCAGTTATATATCGCGGCGTGTCAGCTTAATGTGGGAGGAAAACCCATGAGCATGGGTATGGTGCTGACAAACCTAGAAACATAATCGGGGCGAACCGGGATTCGAACCCACAATCATAGGTTTCTGGCGTGCCCAAGGGACGCAACTCTGCACAGCGAATCGTGGCGCCTTCGACGACTTGGCCACCCGTGCCCCAGCAATAGCAGATACAGAACAATTAAACCTATCACTGAAGCTAACTGTAACTATTTAATGATACAGTGTATACATGATTTTAACACCCAAGATATGTATGTAATAATAAGTAATCATATCACAAAGAGTTATAATACCCCCAAACCCCTGCATGCTTTCAGCGCTCGCAGCTGCCACGTCCAATGGGACACCATTCTTTTTTAGCCCAATGCAAACACTGTACAGTGTAAGCAGAGGATTGGTCTGAATCTTATTGAAGAGGTTAATTTAAAATACAAGAATGGAATACTGCTTAGTGTAAAATATTTTTTCTGCTCATCATGTTTGTTTGTTTGTTTGTTTGTTTGTTTGTTTGTTGTTTATGCCCCAATCAGCAATATTCCAGCTATATGACGGCAGTCTGTAAATAATCGGGTCTGGACCAGACAATCCAGTGATTGATATTATGAGTATCGATCTACAAAATTGGGATATGATGGCAGGCAGCAAGTCTGACAATCTGATTCCGTTAGTCTCCTCTTATGGTAAGCATGGAGTGCTGAAGACCAATTCTAGCCCAGATGTTCACAGGGGCCATTGACACCTGACTACAGACCACCCCATCAGCATTACTACTGTATACCAGTACCTATCACATCCAAGAACAGACAACTCATTTTACCTCTTTCAGTAAATATTGACAAAGTAAGAGCTATATCATGTTCATCACGACTAGTACATGTTTGTGACCATTAGCTATTGAAGGCTTCCTTACATGCTCTGTGGACTCTCGGCCGCCATGGCCACAGCCTGGTCCAGGTGAATCTTGTATGGCCTTCCATAGACCCTCAAAAACTGGGTGGGATCTAGTTTCTGAAAGACAAATTATCAAACAAAATAAACAAAACAAACTGGAATGCGTTCAAGTTAGTTCAAGTTGTTACTGCAGAGCTCCAGATAAAATTTTGAGCAATTGAGTTTTCACTCTAGGTTTTCTATTTTAATTGGGTTATTACATTTTTCATTGGATAACCACTATTTTTTCACTCATCTATTCATTGCTCTATTGGGCTTTTCCCAAAATTTGTGAACATTTTAAGATTTTAAAAAAAGAAAACGTTTTAGATGTATATAACTGTTCTAATTATATAGGCCTGACTCGGAAGTAAATAAGCTCGTAATTTTGTTTCAGAATTTAGCTCCTTTGTACGCATGCTGAAAAAGCTTCATTGGGTATTAACGCATGCAGTTTTTAAACATTTGAGTTTTTCATTAAATGCATGCGTTTCTGTACACAAGTTAATTGAAAGTATTTGGGTTTTGAATATTTGGGTTGGGGGGATATTTTACGCAAATACGCTGCTTATTTGCTCTGTAGCTCTGTACTGTAAATGTGGTACAAATCCGAAAAACAATAATACAAAACCATAGCCTTGAAAGAAAATGATCTCAAGCAGAACTATTCATTAGCTGTATAGTTTGGGCAGGAATAAATGCTACTTGTTTGAGACTATGTCCATGGAAACTCAACAATTTAAAAAAGTTGAAAAATATGAAAAGGTAATACTTGAGCATGTGGTCATTGCAAATGTATAGTTGCATGGAAAAAATATTTATTAGTTTGAGAGTTATGGCTTGAAAACAAAGTCTAGGGTTGTTAGAGACTTAGTCCAAATTGTTTCCATATAAATGTAACAAAATATCATTATGAAAAATTTCAAACTAGCAAGGGTACCAGTTACACTGATGAGCAATGCATATGCCACTTCTAAGTTGGAAAATCTTGAAAGGTTTTTCAAGTTATGGCTCGGAAACATAGCCTTGAGTTGCTTTAGACAAAGTCAAAATTGTCTCCATGGAAACATAAAAAAATGAAAATTGCTTTAAATAGCCACAGGCACTAGTTCAACTGATGAGCAATGCATATGCCAAGTTTTGTTTAAAACCCAACACCATCGAGAACTGGGCCAAAATCAATGTCCCCCTCCCCCCTTTTTGGGGGGGGACATAACTTTGTTTGCATTTGTTTGGTATTTAATGTCGCACTCAGCAATATTCCAGCTATATGATGATGGTCTGTAAATATTTGAGTCTGGACCAGACATTCCAGTGATTGAAATCATGAGCATTGATCTACACAATTAGGAAACAATGACATGCATCAGCGAGCCTGACCACCCGATCCTGTTAGTTGCCTCTTACGACAAGCATGAGTTGCTGAACACCTATTCTAACCCGGATCTTCAAGGGTCAACATATCTGTAATTTATCATTGATCAATTATCCAAAGACAATATTTTTCTCACTTTGTAGACTATGATTGCCACGTGATTATTTTGTCATAGCAACTAGAAAAGTGTTTGCATTACATGCAAAAACTGAAGCAGACCCATTCTAACCTTGACCTGAATGCCCCAAAACTGTGCCTGCAGCTATCTTAACAACAAACTTTAAAGCACTTCAGGTCTAATGGCATCAGTACCAGATTGAGAAAACATACACCCATTCAAGTACAGCTTTGAAATAGGTAGGGTGAGATTAAATGGGGTTTAACGTCACACTCAAGATTAATGCACTCATATAGCAACATGCATGCATGTGTTTGTGTGTGTGGCTGCTTGTACTAATCCAGACTATTGCTGATTTTAGAGTGCTAGCTCACTGAGATACCATGCCTCAGTTTAACATGAATACCCCATTCAGACACAGTATACCGACTCCGAACCGACCAGTCCTTGTTTTAGGCCCTCAATGGCAAGTGCCAGGCAGGGTAACAACAAGTACCATCTTTTAACATCTTTTAGTATGACACTGGACCTTACGCTCTACCACTAGACCATGGAGATGGTACTTTGAAACAGAAAGTTCTGCGCTAATACAATAACAAAAATTTGAGCACTTTCAGCTTAATGACATCACTTCAGATTTTGAAAAAAACATGTCTGATGCAAGAAAACTTTAATACAGAAAGTCTTATGCCACTAACTACTTGAATGAAATAGTTATAAGCACTTCCAGTTTAATGACATTGAACTTCAAGTTGGGGCAATCACACAATTAAATATTTCTAGTTTCTAAAACATGGGCCATTGCTCCTACAAGTATCTCATACAAACATACAGGGTTGGTTCAGTACATAAAGAAGCAAAACTACCTTCCAAATGACCTTGACCTTTAATGAAAGTCGACCCAAAGCTTACCAAATCAATGCCACACTCTAAGGATGCTATGTTCTAAATTTTAGAATGATCCTGCAAGTAAATTTGACCTTTAATATCAGCAACAAGTATTTTAAGAGGATTACAAAGAGCTATCCAGCATATAAGCCAAATACGATGTCGTTTGGGGAATTGAACATAACAATGAAAATTTAGCATATACTACTCATTGAAAGTATGTAATAGTGACCTACCACTCATACTAGATTTTCATGACATGTCACACAATAAAACATGCATAAGATCACAAAAATGTCATACTTTACACAGTGACCTTGACTTTTCAATAACATCACTACTGACCTTTTATGTGAAGCCCATTTCTGGTGTCCCCCGCCGTGATATTGCTAAAAGCGGCGTAAAATCAAACTCACTCACTCACTCACTGACCTTATAACTCCTTTACCCATCTGGGTCCCACCTTAAGAAGGACATGTACCAAGTTTCATTGACATACAGTAAATGCTTCTTGAGTTGTCATTTAAACAAACTTTTCTTCATTAACTTTGTAACTATTTCAAGACTTGCTTCTAAACTACTTTAGACTCACAATTTTCTCATAGAATTCCCTTCTTCTCTCTGCCCTCTTCTTGTAGTCGACCATAAGGCCTCGGATCTTCTTCTCCTGCCTGCGAGCTTCATGCCACATGTTGTCGCTTCACTCTATCCAAGCACCATCAACATCAAACAGCATCTGCATCCACAAATCAAAATATCTGCAACATTTTCTCAGACACATTTTTTATCCTGTGTGCAGATTGCTCTGTGTCACTTCTAACCCAAAATGTCAGGCTAAGAAAAATACTAAATGTTTCTCAGGCATTTGTGCATCACTTGAACATCCTGCAAGTCGGTCATTTTTATTGCCACTAAAAAACATTTTCAAATTTCCCTCATTTAATGTGTTTGGAGATGGACTTGAGCACAAAAAAACACATATTTTCCAATTTTTGTTTAAAGTTGATTATGCATTTTCGTTGTATTTTATTGTTAGCATAGCAGTCAGAGATATGAGAAGACATGTCTAATGCACACAATTTCAGAACATAAAGTCCCCTGCTTCTAGCTACCTTTATCATCAATAAGAAAGTGACTTCACGTGCTTCATAATTTCAGGGTTGGTTTCAAAATCACAGAGGCAAAAGCATTTTCAAACCTTTACCATCAGTAAGACTAGGTGAATGAGTGAACGAAAAGACCTAAGCGATGAATTTCTTAGATCTTGACCACTTTGACTAAACTGGACCCAACATGTCTAAGAATATTTCTTGCTAAACCAAAGAGTATGAAAAGATATCCATGAACATAATTGTGAGACAAGACACAAAATTATCACACATTTCAATTCACCTTGGCCACCTTCAATTCAGGCCACCTTGGAAACCTGGTTTACTAGAATCTTGCAAATAAGAACATTGTGCATTTGGGCGACGAGTTCTCTCAAATGGGTTTTCGGTCAACTCTTTTACCACAATATGCAGCGTGGCCGGGTTTTTTATGTAGTAGGTTCGTAACACAGCACGAAAACGCAACAGCATTTACCAATGAAGGGTGGGTCTGCCGATGACTTCAGTCGGCAATTACCGATAATTTAAATTGAACTCACTCCTTTAAGTAATTCGTACCTGTGTGTAGTGCTAAAGATATATTTATGAAATCCTGACCGTGTAAGACCCAAAATAATATCAATGTGGTGTTGTGACGAGAAGACATTGATGGACTATAGCTTGTTTCAAAATTCCTGAGATTACAACTGAAACGGTAAATATGCTTTGGAAACATTTTTTTTTACGTTTTACTCAAATTCATGTATTAATAACACACACAGGCATATTTGTCTGTTTGGTAGACCCGATTTGTTTGGTAGACCCATTGTTTCCTGAAATAAGATTACTGTTTGAAGATCGCCTTTTTAAAAAGAGATTTACTCTACTAAATACTATAATTATAACATTATTTGTTGACTTTTATCAATGTGATATTACGATTTCTCATCGTGTTTTTTGTGAAAATACTTCACGTTACAATATATATTATATGTTTTATATATATAAATATATTTATACTAGATCTATTATATATTTTATTTTGTTTTTTAAATGTATTCACATTAGCGCTTTACTTAAGGTGTGTGAAAAATTTCACATATATATATGTGACAAAGTATTGAGAAAGTATACTAACTATTGACATGTGTATTTATGATGGTAAATGTGTATGTTTACCGTGTTTGAGATGGGATTTATAAATCCATCTATAAAAACCACAGCATAGGTAATACCCGCCTCCGCTCTATTTAGAATTTTGGCCAAATTTTTCACTATGTGTATACTAGACATTAATTTCTAGTTCCTTCTATTATACTTAACCTTCGTCCCATATAATACAAGAATATATCTCAGATAACAAATAGATACATCCAAATGCTACATACATGTATGTACCTCTTGGACACTGTATTGCTCTGTCTCCTTTATGTTCCTTAGTTGGGGTTAGGATTATACTTACGTTCAATTATTTGCAAAGTAAATCCAAAATAATCAGGTAAATCTCTATTCCTGTTGTGATTTAAATGAATGCGTATGGTTTTACACTGGTCTGCCTGGCCAGACTTGATTATCTATACAAGTTGCCATAGTATTGCTAGAATGTTGCTGGCTGAGGCATAACGAACAGACAAAATTTTAACCCCTGACTCAATTTCTCAAAATCTTAACAGCTGTTTGCTCCTGGACAGAAGTATTCCTAAACATTTATATACAGCTAGGGTCAGTTTGCCCTAACACAGGCAATGTTGAAACTGGTGTTACGGGCGGATATTTTTCAGAACAAACAAACATACTTGAACATACAGTAAAGGAAACGACCCAACAGCAACATTCCATAACTGTCACACACAGTCAGTTTTTGACATTACGTTGTCGCACATTCGTCTTATTCGACACGTGTATCAATAAAACGTACCTGGGTGAATACCAAAAGTACCTGAAAAATAGTCTCATAGTTGTATACATTATCCATGACAGAGGCACTTCCGTAATAATTAGGTTGCACGGTAGGCGAATGGATCGGATGTTACCGGCGAAGTTCAAACACACTCAAATGTGGTGTTGTGACGAGAAGACATTGATGGACTATAGCTTGTTTCAAAATTCCTGAGATTACAACTGAAACGGTAAATATGCTTTGGAAACATTTTTTTTTACGTTTTACTCAAATTCATGTATTAATAACACACACAGGCATATTTGTCTGTTTGGTAGACCCGATTTGTTTGGTAGACCCATTGTTTCCTGAAATAAGATTACTGTTTGAAGATCGCCTTTTTAAAAAGAGATTTACTCTACTAAATACTATAATTATAACATTATTTGTTGACTTTTATCAATGTGATATTACGATTTCTCATCGTGTTTTTTGTGAAAATACTTCACGTTACAATATATATTATATGTTTTATATATATAAATATATTTATACTAGATCTATTATATATTTTATTTTGTTTTTTAAATGTATTCACATTAGCGCTTTACTTAAGGTGTGTGAAAAATTTCACATATATATATGTGACAAAGTATTGAGAAAGTATACTAACTATTGACATGTGTATTTATGATGGTAAATGTGTATGTTTACCGTGTTTGAGATGGGATTTATAAATCCATCTATAAAAACCACAGCATAGGTAATACCCGCCTCCGCTCTATTTAGAATTTTGGCCAAATTTTTCACTATGTGTATACTAGACATTAATTTCTAGTTCCTTCTATTATACTTAACCTTCGTCCCATATAATACAAGAATATATCTCAGATAACAAATAGATACATCCAAATGCTACATACATGTATGTACCTCTTGGACACTGTATTGCTCTGTCTCCTTTATGTTCCTTAGTTGGGGTTAGGATTATACTTACGTTCAATTATTTGCAAAGTAAATCCAAAATAATCAGGTAAATCTCTATTCCTGTTGTGATTTAAATGAATGCGTATGGTTTTACACTGGTCTGCCTGGCCAGACTTGATTATCTATACAAGTTGCCATAGTATTGCTAGAATGTTGCTGGCTGAGGCATAACGAACAGACAAAATTTTAACCCCTGACTCAATTTCTCAAAATCTTAACAGCTGTTTGCTCCTGGACAGAATTATTCCTAAACATTTATATACAGCTAGGGTCAGTTTGCCCTAACACAGGCAATGTTGAAACTGGTGTTACGGGCGGATATTTTTCAGAACAAACAAACATACTTGAACATACAGTAAAGGAAACGACCCAACAGCAACATTCCATAACTGTCACACACAGTCAGTTTTTGACATTACGTTGTCGCACATTCGTCTTATTCGACACGTGTATCAATAAAACGTACCTGGGTGAATACCAAAAGTACCTGAAAAATAGTCTCATAGTTGTATACATTATCCATGACAGAGGCACTTCCGTAATAATTAGGTTGCACGGTAGGCGAATGGATCGGATGTTACCGGCGAAGTTCAAACACACTCAAATATATTGGAAACCTGTACACTACCTTCTTCCATCACCTCGATACCATACCACACATATTACAATATGCATGGCTGCAGGTTGAAAAAAATGAGCTAATTAGTGCATGATTATGTGTGCAATACCTGTAACTTACCGCCTACGAGCACTTGTCCACCGCCATTACACATCCATTAAACTTCACTGTTACATTCGCGTTTCCTGAACGTCCAATAGCATTGGAGCTAACTACTAAGGGAGATAATTAGCCTGTTAAAAAGGATAAACAAGAGTTGATATGATAAATAATATAAACACGCAATGCCATTTAGAAAGTGGTCAAATGTCATATTTTGGATAATACTTTCATTGTAAAGTACAGATTCTCGCGCTTTTGTGTAATTTACAAAGAAAGTGTTATGGAAAATACATCATTTGTTACATTTGACCACTTTCTAAATGGCATTGCGTGTTCATAGCTTTCGGCCTTGGGAGCGGTGCCAATTTACACTTGTCAGAGTGTGGGTAGGGGGCCATGTAGTATGTTGTAGGAAGTAAATTTTATACGAGAGAGGTTTTTGATATTTTGGAACCCTCCCTTTAAAGAAATGCTGGATACGCCCTTGTAGTAAGATGTAAGATGGGTGCCTGTTAATCTGCTTTCAATATTAACAAGTTTTCAATATCTCAATTGTTGTTTGCAATATACACAATTTTGTTTGCCATATTTGATATGTTTATCACGAGCTGTTATGTTTCTATGCCAGGATTGAAAGCTGAGACTTACTTTACTCTGTATTAAAGTCAAGGGTAGAACGGTTGTATCAATATTGAATTGCCCTACGATGAACAGTCGATCAGTAAAAGCACTAATGTCCTTACATTTGTAACTATTTCAATTTCGCAAAAATAACTTAAATGTGATTTCGTTTTTGCAAAAACAAACATCCTTAGTTTTCATTATATTTAAACACGGATATATTTATTTACACCTTTAGATAAATGTTGTAATTTCATTTTCGTAAATCAATTCAGAGTCCCTTAAAACTAGTCAAGGTAACAAAGCAATCATTAGTATGAAAACCACCCCGAAATTACATAGTCCTGTGGGGCACCTGTGTGAAAAGGATGATGAAGTTCCGGTCAAGCTGCCGGCCTCTCGGTCTTCATCAGACACGCTCGGTAGTTTCGTTCTATATCATTCGAGATCCATTTTCAAGTAGTGGTGTAACTGGCTAGAACAAGAAATCATGCTACACTCGTCACGGTAGTGAAGTCGGTTGAAGAAGGATCTTGTATAGCGTCGGACGAAACCAACAGTGTGCCCGGAGAAGGCCGAGAGGCCGAAACCTTGACTGTTCATCAAAATATAAATAAAACCTATTTTCACCGCGGCGGGAATATTTGCACTGCGGTGAAACTAGTTTTCTGTTTTCTTAATATTTTGAATTTTAATTCAATTTTCTATGATTTTCACTTGACCTTTTGACTTTTAAATTAACACTTTTCTGTGTTTCATGTTTGGTTTTCAAAATATTTTATCAGTATTCAGTATTTCCTTGCTATTTGTTGTTGTTTTTAATTTCACTTTACGGGGTTTTAAGATGATCACTTCCTTTTTAATGTTTCTGTATACGTCATTTTTCACTTTCCTCCCATAATAATCCGAGCCGTTGTTATGTGACTGAAATACTGTGAAAAGCAGCATAAGAGCCAAATCACAGCCAAGAATGAACGATTGTCTAATCTGGCAAGACCATTGCCTTCACAGAACAAATTAAGTAGTGTTGTTATTGTGAGGAGTATGTTACTCTTTGAAATATACAATTTTCTTTATTTAACGAAAACAACGTTATGAGAATAATTAGTTTAACCTTTAACATTTTTTAACGTTTAAATTAACAGGACAATGCACTCTGAAGTAAGTATTCAACACTTCAGTACTTCTTATATACCTCAAATAGCTTGGTGCAAAAAACAGTTGCAAAAAAGATGTGCCTTTATTTTTTTTTAGATTAAGAGACTATAAAATGCATGAGAGGCCCATCAACGAATCTCATCCAGTGTGGCGGTGGGGCAGTCTAGTGGTTAAAGCGCTCGATCGTCACGTCGAAGGCCCAGGTTCCATTACCCACATGGGTACAATGTGTGAAGCCTAGGGCTGGGACGGGTAACTCGGGTACCCGGGTCGGGTGGATACTGAGTAGGACCCGGGTAACCACAGGACTACCCGAACCCGTGGTTAGTCACGTGATATATTGTTTAATGACAAAAAACATCTAAAACTCTATGGTTACCCTACAAGTCACTAATGTTCACATTTTTTTCTGATTAAAACACCCATTCTTTTAACTTTTCATATGGTTGAAAAAAAGATATAAAATAAGTCAGCTTCAGTGTATGCATGACCAGATCGTATAATACATGCATCTAAATACGTTTTGTAAGTGCTGTGGTAAAAGAATTCCCAATCGGACATTTTGTATCTCTTGAGACCTACAGTGGGTACCCGGGTAGGGTCGGGTAATAGGGGGGTGGGTACCCGGGTAGTAAATTTGGACTCGTCCCAGCCCTAGTGAAGCCCATTTCTGGTGTCCCCAGCCATGATATTCCTGGACTATTGGTAAAAGCGGCGTAAAACCATACCCACTCACTCATCATCAAGGTATCAAAACCTAAAAATGAAGCACGACCGTTTATGTAAAACTAGTGCTGTCTTTCGAATAGGGAGGCGGTAGCCATTCTAATATATCAGTAGACGCGGACCAGTCTCCTCTCGTGTAGTTAAAAAAAATAATAGTAATAAATCAATGGACATAGGTGTAATATTCCTAAAAACAGTAAGCCCCCCAAACCAAAGAAAAATATCAACTTTGAGCTACATTCATCGCACAACATTTTTAACTAGTGCTGCGACGACCATGATCCTCCACGGCGCGCCATATTCAGTTTGATGTCAGTCTGGTTCTCCTGTCACTTTGCGCAACGACAATTAGCGCAGTACAAATCAACACTTGTGGGAGTAGGAGCCCAGCTTATTTGTCGACTGCTACACTGTATACAAGAAGTGGCAGAAATGAATCTTCCAGTGATAGAATATCGATGATAAGAATTAAATGTAAGTGCAATTCCTGTGACAGGTTATTGAGTAAAGCTGTGGTTGGTATTGTAAATAATGTTGAGATACGATCACATAGTCAAGGTTTGATTTTGTAAACAGTAACTTCGAAATCGTAGGTCAAGATATCGCTAAAACGGGCTGTCGGAAACAAATCTCGCATACTGAAAGTGGGGAAAGATATTTCGAAACAATGTCATAATGATACAGAGGATATGCTATGTGTTCTTTTTAAATCTAGACTACATTGTGATGTGTCGGTACTTGTAGAAATATGAGTATCATTCTGTTAAAATCTAGAAGAGACAGCATTATTAATTTTAATAAGATGCAATCAAGTGTTCATTATTGAATGCAAGACACATGTAAGGAAAGGATATTGGAAGTATTGAAATACTAGTAGGCCTATATGTTCCATACTCATTCTCTTTTCACAACACAAAATGAATGAACATGTTTTCAGAGAGTCTGAACTTGACTGATCAAGGCAATCTTTGGACAAGGATAAAAAATTTATCTTAGACAGATCTACTTGATGTAACTGATTATAGATTTTTCTATATGTTTGCGTTTTTATGTGTTTCAAATTTTAATTTTGACAGAACATAATGGACAAGCATAAGTTCAAAACACCTATAAGGCCAACTTCAAGAACAAAACAAGGGGCACGATATAAAAACTTTCGATTCCACCAGATGTCATCCACTGATCTCTTATCTGTGTGTGAGCAGAAGACACCTGAAGCTTCTGATACCGAGATCAACCTATACTGCACAGAATCAGACTTGTCATTAGAAGATATCTGGGATGAACTGTCAAGTCCAAAGACAAAAGAATCGACAACAACTACACAAACGACCACACAGGAAATCCGTACAAGAACTTCAAGAAATGTTCCTCCAAATTCCCCTGTTTATCCAATTACTACACATGAGGGTAGTGAAAATCCCTTTATAAACTGCTTGTTGAAGATTTGGAGTGAACAGAGATTCAATTCACCTCAAGTTGACATAGAAAGTGATGCAGCCACATCTCAACATGAAGGTGATGGAGCACAAAGTCGAGAGGCAAACCCAGCTCTTGTCTTTCAGGATTTAGTTGTTGAACAATCTGTTGCTGAAAGTGTAGAACAGGTCAATAGACAACAGATGGGTATTGATCATGTTGTTCCAGCTTTTGAGGAGAATCAGTCATATTTTGAGCAATCTGAAGACAACAGTGAAAGGGTACTTGCTTCTTGTGCCCCAGAAGACCATCTTGTGCCTGTGTTTATTGAAGAGTGATCACTACATCGTGATTCTGCTACAATTCTCTTTAACTTTCAAAAAAGAAATAGAGAAAGTTTGTTATATGTGTGGAAAAAAATAGTACACTCAATTCTTTAGTCTTCAGAATGGTCAACAATACAAAGTAAATATGTATTTCATGGTCTTAAATCAGTCTGAAACTTAATATATGATTTAAACATATATGCCTACAGAGCATTTTATTTAACATTGTGACAGTATCTAAACCATAACACTGACTTGGCCTAATATGTGTTGTTGTTTTTATCAGAAGTTTGTATTGTAGCAGTTGTCCTGGTGTCATATTTTGATACTATCTTGAACTTAGTTGAAGATGTGCATAATTGAAATGTGTTTAAATGTTGTTGCCAAGTTAATTTTTAACCAAGTTACATAATTTATTGCCACTTATATATTTATTGATATTGTTGAGGTGCCAGTACCAGTATTTATTGTCTGCCATTTTGCATATTTGAGATACACTTGACATTTCCTGCCAATCTTTGCAATAACTTATAATAATTCATGTTGAGTGAAAACAATTGTTTATGTTACTAGTATTACCCTGTTGTTGTTTTTTCATGATGTAATATTTATCATTTAATGCCAATCATACATTCAAATCACAGGCAGTTGTGTTTTTTTTTTTGTTACAAGCAAATGTAGGCATGCATGTTACTCCTATGCAGAAACCCTATAGTCATATTGTTGCCATTAAAGTATTTACCAAGTTGGATTATGACTTGCTTTTTTTGTGTGGATTTCTTTTCAGGTAGGAGGAATAGAAATGAAGGCAAAACCTTTCTACCATTTAGCTTTTAAAATGCTGTAGGTACATAATAGACAATCAGGAGTTATTTGGTGAATTTTTTTCAGACCAAGGAATGACCAAGTAATATCCATCTTTCAATTTGGAATATGCAGTGTATCACCTGTTTGACTATCAACTATCTTCAGCAGCCCATGCTTGTTGTAAGAGGCAATAAATGGGATTGGGTGTTCAGGCTCGGTGACTTGGTTGATGCATGTTGTCATATACCAACTGCATTGATCAATGCTCATGATGTCAATCACTGGATTGTCTGGTCTAGACTCGATTATCCACAGACCGCCATCTTAATGCTGGAATATTGTGTTAAACAAACAAGTTTTTTTGTCACTAACAAGTCACTGGTGAATGATGTAGAACCTTTTTTTCAAAAGTGAAAACTCACTTAAATATTCACTACAATGACACAAAATGTTCTTCAGTATAATGATAATCATATACATAGGAACGTTGAAATTAACCTAAATCGTTTACTAACATGATTAGTGATAACATGTCAAGACACCATAAATACTAATCCTCAAGCTAATGTGAATTTCTGTCCCTATCTGCAAACATACCTCTCATCTTCCTTACAGGTAGCCATTGGGCACTCCATTCCCAAATGGCTAGGGTGTGGGGTTTATGTACGAGTCAGTTGGGTTAAATGCTGCTTTGAACAGTATTTCAACTGTCAGCTTGATGTGGTAGGAAAGCTGTAAGTGATGCAGGTCTTGGATGTTTACAACTTTGGTGAAACCCACGAGCGGGTATGGTGCTGACAAACCTAGAAACATAACTGGGCAAACTGGGATTTTTGTTGAAGAAAAACAGGACACTGTATTGGTTACTCAAACTGTTTGTTTTGAAATGTGGGTCCAATTAGGATGTTGTACTGGCGACTTGTGCTGAGAGGAAATTCACAGTTTTAGGCCATGTTACTTGAGGTCTTCCAGCCTTTTTGTATGACTCTGTGACTTTAACTTCACCCTGGACACCAATACTTTTCTTATAGATCTCCCCTTATTTCATTCTATCAGTGTTGGGTATTCTAGGGATAGAAATTAACATTTGCTCATCTGTCTCATATAAAAGGTATAAAAAATGCAAGCTTATTTTCTACAAGTTTGGTGCATCCTTATTTATTATCATTTATTTAGTATTTAGTATATTCAAGGTAATTTCTGTGAATGTGTATACATTACTGTTTACAGAATGACTGAGGATGATTGTGAATGAGTGAGTGTGGTTTTATGCTGTTTTTAGCAATAATCCAGCAATATCACGGTAGGGGACACCAGAAATGGGCTTCACAAATTGTACCCATGTCGGGAATTCAACCCCGCTCTTCGATGTGACGAGCGAATGCTTTAACAATTTGGCTACCCGACCGCCCCAAGGATGATTGTCATGACAGATCAGTTCTGTTGCATTGTTGGCCATACATGTTTTCAATTTGAACTTCCAAACTATGATATATTTTTTTATGGGAGACATATGGCTGAAACACCAAACTTGACTGATCATCAGGCTGGTGTTGATGACTGGGAAAAGACATATATTTACCTATGTATAATGTGTATGCGCACCTATACAGTGCTACTGAGAAATCATCTGGCTGTCACATGAGAAGGGACCACTTACGCGTTCCAGTGGTAGAGCGTCCGCCCCGGATAGCGGAAGGTCCGGGGTTCGATCACCGGCCGCGTCATACCAAAAGACGTTAAAAAATGTTTTTTTTTACCCTGTTTTGGCGCTCGGCATTAAGGGGCTAAAACAAGGACTGGTCGGCTCAGTGTCAGTACACTGTGTCTGAGTAGGGTATTCCTGTTAACTGCGGCATGGTATCTCAGGGAGGTAGCACTATTAATCGGCATCAGTCCGGACTAGTGCAAACAGCCACACACACAAACACGTGCATGCACATCGCTATATATAAGTGCAATAATCTTGGACGAGACGTTAAACCCAATTTTACCTCACCTCACATGAGAAGGCACGGAGCACATAAAATGGAATGTACAAATCAAGAGCCCAGACACAGCCACGGCTGAAGATAGTCATGACACCAGACATTCAATAAGTTCGGTATAGCCAGACAGTATTAGGTCTGTATGGACGCCCTGATATTACCTGTAAAGGCCCGGGGGCGAAAAACAGCGTTGAACATTTGAGCAGCGAGGGACCCAGTCGACTTGTTCACACGATTAGCGTGTCATATATCAAAGCTGCACGCGTCTCATATTCTACGTTTTACTGTTGATATATTGGGCCGCCATTGTGCCCACCCAATCAATATTTATATCGCACCGGCGAGGAAACCGCATGTAATAGCGGTGATGTTCCATAATCTTCGTTACACTATTTGTTTTATTACAACCGCCACGTTCACCCAGATGTTCTGCCATAATCATCGCCGCGGCAAATCGAGGTATGCTCTTACTTCCCACGGCGCAAATCTCTCATCACGGAAAAGGATTAACCTAAACTTTTAACATTTCCTTGAAACCGCGCTTGTGAGAACTGACCGAGATTCACATCTATGCATGTAGTCTTTCACCTCTCATGTCTGAGGTAAACGTCTTTGTTAAAGGATATGCTAGAACGACTCCTATGAACTGCGCATGTAATTTACGATCTGGTGTCAACATGGCCGCCGCGACAGCCATTTTTAAATTGTCATGTTGGATTATGTTCACTACTCTTGTCATGTATGGTTGTATTTGTCAAAATGTTTTTTTTGGGGTTTAATAGGCAACCAGTTAATAAGGCATATTCAAAACATATATCATTGCAGCATGGCTGTCGTCAGACTCTTACCCTGGGGTCATAAAACATATCTCTTTGCGTAGATAAACAGATGGCGCTCAACATACTTGTTATTAGAAATCCAATCTTGTTTTGAATAAATGTGACGTAGCTGAAATATTGCTGACTGTGGCCTTAAACAACAAACCAAGAAACATATTTGTACACGCCACTATTTTAATATTTATATCAGTCGACAACGACCCCCACAGCAATATTTCATTATTTGCGTAAAAAGAGCCTTTATTACGTTTCTGCATATATTCTTTTTCGAAACGTCACAGTGTAATTAGAAATAGGCTTGTAAACAATACGGAGTCATTCTCTACATTGCTTTGCTAACATCCATACAACATATTCTTCATCACACAAAATGAACGATTCCTTATAAGGACTTATATAGTCCGGAGTAGAATAGAGCCGCGATACCCATATGCGTAATGGGTCGACTTCGGTTATTGTTTGTAGTTTCATGTTGTTTAACACACAGCAATATTCCAGCTATATGACGGCGGTCAGTAAATAATCGAGTCTGGACCAGACAATCCAGTGATTGACATCATGAGCATCGATCTACCCAATGGGAGCGAGCCTGTCTACCCAATACCGTTAGTCGCCTCTTACGACAAGCATAGTCGCCTTTTACGGCAAGCATGAGTTGCTGAAAACCTATTCTTCCTCGGATCTTCACGGGTTTCCAAAAAGCGACCTTAGCGCTAAGGCGATCGTAACTCTCCTACTTTACCATAAACAAAGATCACCGTGGCAACTTTTTGAAAGGGACCAGGCTATTTTCGATTATCCAGCGCATCATATCTCCATTTTAATTGGATGAACCCCCTGGACGCATTCACTGCTATAGCTTCGTCCCATGGCATGACGTTAAAACATAGCTACCCAACCAAATTACTCACAAGAGCGAGAAAAAATCGGTGCATGATAGGTAAGGATGGGACAGGAGCGATGGGGGCACGCAGTGACGTTACCATGCCTGAAGATCCGGGTAAGAATAGGTCTTCTTGTCGCAAGATGCGACTAATGGGATCGGGAAACGGGGCTATGTAAACGAATAGATTCAGGTATTTATCAATTTAGAATGAAGATAAAACAATACACTTTTTAGTGAAGGATGAGATCAAGCCGTTGCTTGTTTTCATAAGTGAACTACTGTATGCAAACGCCTATATATATATAAACGCCTACGCATTGTTTTAATACAAAGTACACTTTCAGAAACTATAATAACTGTTTGAACAAACGTGTGTGTGTGTGTGTGTGTGTGTGTGTGTGTGTGTGTGTGTGAGTGTGTGTGTGTGCTCGCGCGCGCGTGTGTTTTACAAACACAAGATACGTGCAAATGAGACTAACCATTACTGTTGCCAGCATTACCGGAAACTACCGAGGAAATCCGAAGGCCCTGAGCCTTATGACGTCACGAGCACCGACTGGATATCGATCGCCCCGTGCTCCAAGTACTTGACCTACTTTAGCCAACGGTAACGCTGTTGCTCCGTTAAAAATAGATCTCTCTGCTCTTCCGCTGCTATCGTAACAGAGTTGATGCTCCAGTCCCTCACGGTTTCAGAGGCGTGAAGACTGGAACTGTTCTTGAGATTTGATCTGTTTACCATGACTTCATGGAAATGGCACATCATCGTGTTCATAACGGCACTGCTTACGACATCGCATGCAACTGTCAATATTTTAGTTACATGTACAATGAAATATGCTGATTGTGGAAAGAAAAAAACGTTGAAATAATGAATATGGACATTTATCAATTTCAATTACATTTATCAATATAAAGGTTTCAAAACATGAATACATAAATAGTATTGTTTTGATCCAAATTACCGTATGACGTGAGGCAAAACATGAAATCACACACTAGTCTTGCTTTGAGCAGCAGAAATAATGTAATAAAATATTAAGATTCACGTCAGCTTTAATCCCCTGAAAGTTTTTGAATTTAAAAAATTATTTATTGATTGTCACACCACATTATCTTTGTGCATATACCGCATTGCTTCTAATAGATGCCAAAACGTCATTTGGGGGGGGGGGGACATTATAAGTGCTAAGGAGGTTATTCATTTACAGATGAGAACGAAGCATATACG